CAGCCCTCGGATCATCTCCGTGTCCCTCCTTCATCTCCCTGCCTGGGCCAGTGGGAGTGTGGAGGATGTCACGCTGATGCCAAAACGTGCTCCGCGTCCCCCCGGGAAAGGAAGCATGATAGCTGATGTAACCAGGGCCGAGGCTTCCTGGGGCGGTCTGTCCTGTGGGCGGTGATGGAGACCATGTTTAGAAATGGCGTGAGGCTCTGCTCTTCATCCAAGGTGCCCTCCTTTTCTCCTTCCTCGCCAGAGCTTCTCAGCGTTGTCCCACTGTGGGCTGTGGCTGTCTTCCTGGGGCTGGCACTGGCCATCTCTGCAGCCCTTGTTGTCACCTGCTACCTGAGGAGGAAGCGAGGAAAAGCCCCTCCGGGAGGTTTGTCCCAGGGTCGGTGTGCAGGACGGGCAGCCATGGGGTTTTGGCTGTGCAGCCCTTGCCTTCCTCCTGCCTGCTGTCACGTTCTTAATGCTCCCTGTGCTGGCCTTGGGCTTCTCCCTCCTCCTGGGGCTGATGTGGGATAAGCCACTGGGCGCTGTTACCCCCTGCCAGCTGCTGCCTGGGCACAAGGGCTCTGCCCTCCACCGCTGATGTGGGGTGGTCCAGGGTGCTGGGCTGATCATCCCAGCAGCCCAAGCAGCAGTGCCCAAGCCTGGACCCCTCACCCCATGGGCTCTGGAGGAGTGTTTGGGTTTGTGCTCACTTTGGACTGAACTGGAACATCCCTCCCAGCCCCTGCCCGTTGCCAATGAAGTAAAACCTGCCAGGGGACCTCTTTCTCCCTCTGCTTTGCTTTGCTTGAGGGCTGAACCCTCCCAGTCTGGGGGCTCTTATGTGTCTTACACCGACCCTTTAAACTCCCCCAGGACCTGTCGAGCAGACGCTGACCGTCTACGAGGAGGTGGGCAGAGCCCAAACTGGCCAAGACCCCGTGAGTGCTGAAGGTGTCCCTGGGCATCTGCTTCAGAGGGATGGGACCTCTGTTTGGAAATGTGTGTCACGCCGGGTTGTGTCCTTTAACCAGCCTGGGGTTGCTTTCTCCCCCAGAATGGGACCAGGGAGGCTGCTGTGGGAGGAAACACTATCTATGCCGTCATCTGCACCAAAACGCAGGTAGGGCCAGCCCTGTGCTGGCAGGGGCGACTGGAGCTGCCCCATGGGCTTGGCTGTGTGGCCCCCGGGCTGGATGCATCCACAGCAACTGTCAAGACCATCCCTTTTGCAAAAAATCTGGGGTTTTTTGTGTGTCTCGATTGTTTTTCCCTGGCAGGGACCCAGCTGCCCTCAGGAACCTGAAAGCTGCACCATCTACTCCACGGTTCAGCCCAGCAGGAAGGTGAGGTCGCCCCGCTGTGATCCCAGCCCCTCTGCAGCGGCATAGAAACCTGGGTCCCCTTGGTTTGTCACCCAGGTGCTGGGTTTGCCATCCCACTCGTGTCCTGTCTAACGGCAGGTTCTGGCTCTGCTCCATAGGATCCTTCTCTCAAGAGGAAGAGGCTGGACCCAGCTTTGATTTCCACTGCCTATGTAGAGGTAGTGGGGGCTGGAGCGGTGGGGAGATGAACCCTGAGTATCTCCAAAGCTCGTCAGCTTTTTGGGATTGGGGGGTGCTAAAGCCCACCCATTTCTTTGCAGGCTACAGGAGGGTCCTAGACCTCGGTATCCTCCATTGCTCCCATCTTCTTCCGGCCATCACCTCTCCTAGTGCCCAGCTGCTCTGGCAAGACCTTCCTTTCCCTATGGACCTCTTCTCCCGGAGCACCCAGAGACCTCCAGCACCCCACCTGGCAAAACCGGGGGCTCACTCGGGATGGAAAGGGTCAGACGAGGGTTTTTGCGAGGATGCAAACCCCAGCTGTGCCTTGGAGGCTTTCCTGCAAGGGAAGGAGGAAAGATGCGGTGATGGAAACCTGTCTTTGCAGGAGATGGATGTGGAGTTGGACAGGCGGGGTTGTGGAGGAAGGAGACATGTAATGTGCCTGTGTTTAGTGCCAGTGTGTGGTCTCATGGGATTGTTTTAGGCCTTTACGGGTTTGATATGCCTTGGGACTTTATTTTTAGGTGTGAATATAAGCTGAACTGCATGAGGCAACTGTGGTCCTTGTTTAATTAGCTTAATTGGCTATTTATAGCCTGAAATGTACCTTGGGCACAGGGAGGGAGTGGGAATTGCCTTGTTTGTGGCTCAGAAACCTCTGAAGCAGATGGGGAGATGGACTTCACAAAGTTTCAGCTGTGTGTCGGGTAGGGAAGAGGTGGCCATGAGCACTGGCTTTGGGCAGGATGGTCCCTCCTCCGTCTGGGCATGGCCCCAGCTGCCCCACAGTGAGCTGAGACCAGAGACCACATCCTTTCCCACCTAAATTATCCCATGCTCCTTCAGCACGAGTGGCCCTGGGAGAAGGAAGTGGAGAAAGAGGGGTTCCAGCTTGAAAGATCTTCCCAAAGGCAAGATCAAGGGCTTTTCTTTGGGATAAAAATGAAATGTGGCATTTTGATGGCAGCACAAGGAGTGGCAGCAGCTCCGCAAGGCTCCCCTTCTGCCCCAGTCCCTGGATCAAAATAGCTGCTCCCTGTGCAACAAGCATTAATTGGGATCATTAACTGGGAGCTGCGCTGGAAGGCTGGCACGGGGAGGGAGGGGGTGTCTGGCTGTCACAGCGAGGGAATTCAGGGGGCCAGGCTGGTGCGGATGGGGCTCAGGCACAGTGTGCCAGCGCTGCTGCCAGAGTTGACGCTGGTTTACACCACCCCCAGCCTCACCTGCTGCTTTTCACACCCTGCAGATGTGAGTCGACCGCTTGCGCTGTAACAGCATCCCTCTGCGCATCTTGGCACTGACGGAGAGGCAGCGGGGCTGATGGAATTTGGTGGGAATAGTTCAGGTGCGATGGAGGGGATGGAAATCCATCAGTACAGGTGCTGGGGACGCGGTGGCGGCCCTTGCTGGGCTGTGCTGCTGCCGGGGAGCGGTGGGGCTAAAGCAGGAGCTGTGTCTGTGCCCCTTTGCAGCCTGAAATGCCTCGTCCCCTCGCTCCTGATGAGCAGGAACGTCTGAGGGGAGACGGCGCGGAGCCTGGGGCCTGCCGCAGCCATCGGCACATCGGGCTCCTGCCGAAGCCACGCTCTGTCCCGGCACTGTAATTTATGCTAATGACCTGCTTTTGCATATAGGAGATAATTTGCAGCTGCAAGTGCTGAGGCAGCACTTTGCTATCTGCCAGGGAAGTTTGCATTCCCATTTCCACCGGTTTCCATCGGCGCGGTGTAATCGAGCGTGGGGACAAGTCGGCGGGTGCTCGGCACCGCGGTGCCACCAGATTGGTGCCGGTGACCCAGCTGCAGCATCACCGCGTGGCTGCTGGCATGGTGGTGCTCATGTCTCCCTGCGCTGCCATCGGATCCCCTCCCCGATGGACGGCACCGCTCGGGGCTGACATTAAACTGGGTCAGGGCTCAGCGGGGGCCGCTGCCATCCTTTGTTCGTGGCTGGGGTCGGCCCTGGTGCTCCTCGCTCAGGGCCAGGGCGACGCGTGGGAAGATGCCGGTGGCCATTTGCCCCCGATGTGGGGGCTGTGCTGGCTTTGCTGCCCCCTGCCCCCCTCAGCTGGTGCCGAACAAAGGGCCTGAAATGCCGTTCATGAAGGAATCAGGGCCTTCATTAAGTCCTTCGTTTGAAGCGTCTGGCCTGGTTGGAGGGGTGCAGCATGCACTTTTAGCATCAGCAAGTCACCCCCCACCCCCCTCCCCATTGCCTTCCCACCTACACTGATTGCCTGTGAACCGGCGTCATGAACCGGATGTGTCAGACCACGGCGAGGGCAGAGGGGGGATTCGGGGGGGGGG